TTCTGGCACACATCTGCACTTCCATAGGGACTAAATTATTAGAATGAATAGAAGATACAAGGAATGTAAGAAAATGAGAAGTAAGAACTGAGCAAAGTTGATACGAAGAAGAGATTAAGAAAAGTGACATTGAAGTGGTTATGTCTGCACTGTATCTGCACTAAGGTTTGCACTAAAAGTTTGAAGAGGACACAGAGCATCAGGTAACACTATCACCTAAAACAAACAACGAAGGATCTAGAAGAGAGACTGGGAGCTAACAAACTAATTCAATATGTTGTATTATTTTCTCTGATAGAGAATACAATGCATGTAGGTTTCTGCTGTTGTTTTCCTTGGGTGGAGTTACCCAAGAGGCAGTGGTTGAATTATATTCACACAGCCAGCATTTCATGTTTCTTTAGAAAAGTAGTTTGTCTTGAAAGAGAATCTTTATTTTCATGTTCAAGTTGGTATATTCTAATGGCCTCTTGGGATCAAAGGGAGAAATCACTCAAGTCCTTAGTTAAGGAGCACAAACCAGGTGCATGTTATGATATAGTCTAAGGAATCCTCTGGGGGCATCTCCCGATTCTGCTTTCCAATGAATGTGCTTTCAACAAGAACAGAAACTCACACCAAACAATGCATTTTTATGACTAGAATTGAAACAAGAGTACCAAATGTCCCTCATTCTTTTATATGGGTCGTGACTGTAATCTCATGGCCCTGCTCAGATGTCAACCTAGTGACTGGAGGGACAGGTAAATGATACAAGAGTTCATTTTGTTCCAACTCCAATTTGTTAACCACAAAGTGAAGAGGGGTGTCTTCCTCATAAAACAAGGCATGCACCTTTCACACCTTTCATTTTGTGTTTAACTACTAGTGTGTGCAGTCAGATGGACAAGACCAAGTTTCCCATACTGTATTCTCTTTGTTATTTTCAGAGCTTTGGGTTCTGTGGTATGGATGCATACATGCAAACACACACACACACACACACACACACCAACAACAATCACAAGCATATTCAGATACTAGGTATGCTATTTGTCAGATGCAACTCTCCAGAGACTTAAAGCAAACAGCATCTCCAAAGTCTGGCTTATTCTGAACAGTTTGCTAAGAAGAAATTTATGTGAATAAATTTGTTATTGATGCCAGACATCACATGTCAGATCTTACTTTTCTGAGAACAAGAGATTATGTAAGTCTACAGAATTGACTAATATTTTCTAATTTTACATACATTGACACAGATGTATTTTACCACTTTGGGGTAAATTGCTGCAGCACTAGTGTTCTAACTTTTCACTGTCTCAAAACCACTTTAGATCCATGAATAAATTCTCTGAAAAATATACACATACCCAAACAATGTTTTATATTATATCAGGAACCTTATTGACTCTAATAATCTCTATTCTACTAGTAATCATGTATTTTCCAAAGATTGTAGTATCACTCTAACTCAACTTCTGTTAACAATGACTTTCCAGTTCAGTTTGAGTTATTTCTTTTATCTGAGATTTTACTGTTCTGGATATGGTTTGAAATAATTCAGAAATGACCATTTTCTTGATATAAAAATGCTTAGCTTATAGTTGTGAATAGATGAATAGAAGAATGAATAAAAGAATAAATAAGGGATATTAATCTGTTCCATCATTTGTTACTAGATCACTGTCTGAATATAAATGTAACTATGAGGAGAATAACCAACTGTTTCAAGTATGATTTTGTGTTCTGAGTCAATGAGTTTCTTAGAGTGCTCAGGAAACCGCTCGAATCTTTTCCTGAAAGGTTCTGATCCATTTCATTAGAAATATTCAGATGCCTGGGCTATAGTTCAAGGATCTTTTATCACAGGACTCATATCCCTTTGGGGAATATAGCATGAAGAGAGACTAACCCTATTGCTAAACCCAGGGTCCTGAGCTTTCCATTGCTCAGACATGGAAGTCTCGCCTCAAGAAACAGAAGACAAAAATGCATGATGTCACATTATGAGAAAAAATGTCATTATGCCCTCAAGATTGTTGAAGACAAAAAGGTTTCCTAACCAAGATCTCTGGGCCTTCTTCCTTATTAACTGGACCAAGATTTACAGAGCACCTCTTCAGTTTTAGATCCTAAACTGGAGCCTCTATGGCACATGCACTTTTGCAGATCCTAGCAGAATTCCCTCGTGAGCTCAATCTGGTTGACATCAGATGCGAATTACAGCCAAGAGAATTCTCCATATTGTAACCCTATTATCTCTCTCTCCCTTCATCTATCTCTCCTGTGCTGTGCATGGTTGGGCCTTATGGAAAGTTATCATTTGGATGCAAAACAATTATCCTAAAACAGTTAGCCAGAGTGGTCTGGACACACAGATTTATCTTCCCTCTTCTTCAGTGAAGAACATCTATCTTCCATGACCTCTTGATTACTGAAGCCTTCAGAATATATTCTTTGGTCTGTGACACTGTGCACAGTGTCGGGCTGAGCATTAAATATCACCCTCTATGATTAATTGGAAGTTAATTAAATCTATCACTGAAACAATGGGAAGGCAATGAGCTATGTAATCATTGCAATAGTAAATGAAATGATGTACAGGTCTCTCTATCTCGCTTATTGACAATGATGGAGGGGTGGCCAGCCTCGGATGCCTGGCGAGGCTTGCTGTCTGACCTCATAAGCCAGCTCTAACTTTCCACAGAGCCCAGGGACAAGGCAACTAGAAGTGTATTCTGACCATTTCTGTTGAATGAGGGAGACTCTTTTCTGGAGGCCTCTGAAATGTGCTTTTCAAGGCTTTTCTGTCTTGAATAATCAGCGGGTTAAGGTATGGGAATGGCTGAATGAACCATGAAAATGCTGGTTGTTACCATTTCTAAGCAGTTCCAGCGAAGGTCCAGCTTCAAATGTCAGGAGCCTTCCAAACTTGATAAATAGAATGCATGTCTACTGAATACTTAATATTTTTGCCTTGTTTAAAACTTCAGTATTTTCAGAGTTTTTACTTGGACCTAATGACATTTGGCCCTCATAAGCCCTCATGCAATTTGAGAAGTGAGAAAGAGAGGGGCTAAGTAGCCTGCCTGAGTTTACATAGCTGATTAGTGACAGAGGTAAGTAAAGCTAATTAGAAACTAAAATAGCTAAGCAGACATAGCTAAATCCTTGGTTTCTGTCTCCAAACTTGATTTAATTTGTAGATATGAGGACATAGAAACCTCACATCTACAAATTAAATGTGAGGTTTGGAATGGTAATCCTAAATTGCCGGATTGCCAAGAATCCCCAGGATCTAGACTGGCATACTCAAACATTTGGTGTGAATATTAGGATCACAGGGTAGCTATCCAGATATTAATTTGTCTTAATCTTCTAGGGCTACAGTAACAATATTTCACATACTGGGTGGCTTAAACAACATAAATTTGTTTTCTCAAAGTTCTGGAGGCTAAAAGTCCGAGATCAGGGTGCCAGCATGGTTGGGTTTTTGTGAGGGCTCTCTTCTTGGCTTGCAGACAACCAGCTTCACACTGTGTCCTCACATGGTGGAGCATCCTCTTTTCATAAATTCACTGTGCTGTCAGAGTAGGGTCCCATCCTTATGACCTCATTTAAACTTAGTTACTTCCTAAAGACTCTATCTTTAGATATATTCATATTTCAGGTCAGGGCTTCAACAGATGAATTTGGTGAGACTGGGAGATATAATTCAGTGCATAGAATAATTCAAAAGCAGATCTTTAAAAAGTGTTACTCAATAAGAGTTAGAAATTAGGGTAAATTTTTTAAACTCTAGTCACCCAGTATTTAAAATTTTTTTTTCCTAGATGTCATCGGAAGAAGAGCGTTTTCTGATCTAAGAATTAACTTGAGATTCATCCTCCCCCTGTTTCTCTTCTATCTCCTCCCCTTTCTGAGGGCATAAGCCCCAAGTTCTGATGACACGTCTCTTCTGTTTGAAAAGGTTTGGCCCTGATGAGAAGCCTTTTCTTATCTTCTCAGATATTCACTGGACAAATGCATGTACTGAGTGTTGGGGAGAGAAGGTAGTTATCAATGTGTCATGGCTGCTCATGGTCCCAGGGGACCTTTAGAAAGTCTAACATACTCTTTGGGGATCAGCTGTAAGCTAATTAACTAAATAAAGATTCCTTGTCACAATCTTGAAGTTTAATATGGTTTAGAGACAAGACATTCAGGTGAACTTCTTATCTCTGGTGGCCAGAGGAGATATTCATTCCCCCAAAGGCATTTTTCTTTCTCTTCCTCTCCCTCCTGCTGACACACAATCAGGCCCATCTGCCCAACCTCTCAAACTAAATATCAAGGGCTTTAGGAAATATCACAGTGGATCTGACTTCAAAATTTGGTCCTGCTCCAGTTCCTCTTGGGAGACTGCTGGCTCATATGCAGTGCAGTGACTATGAAGTATACAAACACCCAACTCAGGAGCTGTTCAAAAAGAAATTCTGGAGAAGCAACTGATGAACACACTCTGCCTCAGGCCTTTGCACTTGTTGGCTCTGCATGGAGCACTCTCCCCTTAAATACTTGTGTATCTGGTGTCCCTACCTCCTCAGGTCTCCAATCAAATGACTTCTGATCAAGTTAGGTTTTCTCTAAGGTAGAGAAAACCTCCTCTCAGACTGTCACCTTCTAAAATTTTACTCTGTTTTTTTCTTCAGATTACTTACTAGTCAGTACTTAACACAGTTATTTATTTTGTATTCTCCTAGAATGCCAACTCCATGAAGTCAGGGGGGATTGTCTGTTCTCATCTGTTTTCCTAAACTTTTCACGCTATGTAGCGCATAATAGGTGCTTCTGTGAATGAATGAATGAATGAATGAATGAGAAAGCAGATTAAAGGGGCAGCATCAAAACTAAGCCAGCTATGTACGCAGAGAACATGACAGAATTACCTGAGTTTCTTTAGCAAGCTATATACTTCAGAATACTAAACCTCCCTGTACCACAGTTTATTTATCTATAGAAGATGCAGTTTGAAATACCTGTTTTCTTCCAGCTTTAATGTTCTGTGAGATACTTTTGAATACTTTGAATTTAAAGATGATGATGCATCATGCTGCCAATTTCAGGAGTCCTGATTTTGAGTCAGCCAGAACAAGTGAGGAAGGAATAGATAGAATAGATGTATCATTACTTTATTTTGAGTCCCAGATTTCTTAAAGTTGAAGGACTAACTTCAAGCTATCCCAATTCCCTCAATACAATGGTAACTAAAATTTGATGTTGCTATCTTTCTTCTGACTCTAGTCCTGGGTTTTCCCCTAGATGTTCATGGTATTAATCTTTTATAAAAACAAAAAAATTACGTCAGAAAATTAAGCAAATCAGTTCAATCTAAAATTCTATTTGCCAAAATGAACAGGATTAGAGAAAGAAAATAAAATAAATCTGAATAAAGAACTTCCCTAGAAATACTTTACATGACAAAAAGGGCATTAAAAAGATAAATATGGGTGACACATTTTTAACTCAAAGGATACCTTGGGCTAATATAAAAGTATAATTATGTTGCTGATGTCACTTCTGGTCATAATGACTTGAAGTATAGCCAAGAAAATGTTATTAAAATGATTGGAAAACTTTTTATTTACTTATTTAAGCTTATTGACTTCAAGACTCTGGGCAAATGTACAAAATACTCATTTGAATTGCAAATTAAATCCATCAGCTAAAGTTACATATTTTTTAAGTCAAATTTGAACTCCTAAGCCATTAATTCATAGTCTTCTGTAGAGTATATGAATTAGCCTATCACAAAGATAATAATATAACATTATTGAACAACATAAAATAACTTCCTTTTATTTTCCCATAAAGTCTGAGTTCCAGGCTTCCTGGCTCTCTCATAATGCCTGATGGTGCCAGAGGGCAAATACGTGTGAATTGCAGTTGCAATATGAAAACTGACTCTGGAAAAGGCGTGTTGGGACTTTCAAGCTGATTCCTGTCAATAGGCTCTATATCAAGCTGCCTCAGAGTTTAGGTCAAGCAGTGCTTTTCGTAGATGCCAGCACTGTCAGGTCAACACAAGATCTAAACACTGAGATGCATGTACTCTGGTCTCTTAAATCAGCCCCAATAACAATAATCTTCCAAGGCAGAGGTGGTAGTGGGCGGGGTGGGGGGGCCCTGATCTGATTTTGCTTCATCATAAGTGTGTAGGATCCTGACTGCCTTTTACAGCAGAGAAGTGAAACACATGAGGATTGATTCTAGGACCATCTTAGCTATACAGAAAGTGACCATTTCCAGTCTGCCCAACCTTTGGTTCTATGATGAAAATTAAATGGTTTGAACTAACAAACACTGGTGGAGAAGTTATTATGTAAAAAAAATGACTACTTCAAAGAAGCAAGAAGGAAAATAAAGATATTTGCCTATTTCCAAGAGAAATCTTGCAGCCCTTAAGGGGTGGAGCTGACTTTGTTGGTCTCTATACTCAGTTCAGTTAGAACAAAATTGTCAAGCTATTTGACATTGTGCAGTCCCTGAATTAAATAAGGAAAGAAGTATTATGGTTCTCACATTCAACAGCATAAGTAAGCGTGGTAGATTCATAGAGTAGAAATCCAACACAGAATTATCAGTTTTACAATGTATTTGTTTTGTGATCTCGATCCTTTGTCTAGGATTGAGTCCTTTATGCCTGAATAATCAATTGAAAATCAGAAATTTGAGTTTATCAACTTTTCTTTCTGTTTGATGCCAAACAATTAATATGACTAGATATTTGACTGAATTGACACAGGCATTTAATGTCATATTGACATAGACATTATCCCCTATTCTGATTTATCTATTAGGAAAATAAAGATAACAAATGATGTCCAAGCTTTTGCTCACCTACGTAACATCTATGAGCTCTACAATCACTTTTAACATTCATCCTTTTCACAGGCATTAATTACCTCAGATATTGAAAGGCAAAATAAAGTGGTTAAGAGAAAGGGCTGTGAAGTCAGCCGGACCTGAATTCAGATACAGGCTCTGTCACTAATTAGATATAGTTGAGCAAGCTACGTACCCTACTGGAACCTCAGTTTTCTCATTTTTAAAATGGAATGATAATATAGCTGCATCATAGGATTGTGGTGAGAAATAAGTAAGATAATGCACAGAAGGCGCTTAGTATGGTACTGGGAACATAATGAAGGTTTAATAAATGCTAACTATTTTAATCAAGTAAAAGTTCTTTAAAAATCACAAAATTGGCTGGCACAATGGCTATCTCAGCACTTTGGGAGGCTGAGGTGAGCAGATAACCTGAGGTCAGCAGTTCAAGACAAGCCTGGCCAAACTTGTTCTTTACTAAAAATACAAAAATTAGCTAGGAGTGGTAGCGGGTACCTGTAATACCTGCTACTCGGGAGGCTGAGACAGGAGAATCGCTTGAACCCAGAAGGTAGAGGTTGCAGTGAGCCGAGACCACGCCACTGCACTTCAGCCTGGATAGCAGAGCAAGACTCCATCTCAAAAAAAAAAAAAAGAAGAAGAAGAAGAAAATAATTGACAAAGGCAAGACAAAAAGTATCATCTTCAAGTATTAGTTCATACATTTATATTTTAATTTAAAAATAAAGAAATTTACACTGAACATATAAGTAGACTCTCACGGAATGTTAATATTTTCATGAAATGAAAGACTGAAAGTCTATAAAATTTGCCTTCTTTGAAAACACCAGAAAGTTTCCAAGGCTATCACTCTTCAATCAATTAGGAAAATTTAAATTCCCAACTATGGCAACTATTGAAAGGGTAAATATTCTTATTCCCAGGGAAGCTGAGAGCATTAAAATTACTTCATTCAGGACCCTCCTCCCAAAAGCTAACTGAGCTGCACTTCTAGATCCTGCCAATAGGATGATGCCAGGCTGATGTCTGCAACACAACTCTAGGTTCATGAAGTGGGTAGTCCCAGTTTTGTGCTGTTTTGTTTTCTTAAATTGTTTTGCTTTCCAGTGTGATGAGAAAATTTGGATGAACTGTGATCCTGCTGGGAACTGTTAAAGCTCTCCACTGTCCAAGGTAGGAAGGCTCCTGGAATATGCTGCCTCCAGCCAAGCTCATGGGCTTTTTAACCCATTTGTGTCAGAATTTACAGATTGGTGGTGCTCCAGGCATGTTCCATGGGCAAGAAAGAGAAAGCTGGGTCACAGCTGGGAGCACTCATAGGGACTCTTCCTGCGGATGTTTTCTGCAATGCTTCGAGTCAACAAAAATAATATTTTAGTTGGCAAACCCCTGGCTTTATGAGGCATATTAGAAAAATTCTAACCCTTTCACTTTGCTTCTTAAGCAAAGCAGTCACCTGTGATACAGATTTTCCTTACACTGTGATGAGTCACAAGGTTAAAGTCAGAAGACCTAGGTTCAAATCCTGGCTCTGGCCACTCTCCAGCTATAAACACTAGGCATATGATTTACCTCTCTCTGAGGCTCGGTTTCCTGCAATAACACGTACAAGTGTTTAACATAGTATATTGCAAGCATTAAAGAAATATTTGTTTCTGTTAACAGTTACTATTACTACTATTCCATCTAAAAAAAAAAGAAGGAATGTTCTGGACTATTCACAAAGACAGTGCCAAGTAAGCTTTCATGTGGCTTATTTTTTTTCAGGTCGGTCTTAATTAAAAAGGTTCTTGTCATGGAGATAGTACTCAGAGACTGGCACAAGGAAGAACCACAGAGATTCAGTCTCAAATACATCTTTATAGCTTCATCACCATAATACCTAGGCATTCATGTGGACAACATCATTTCATCATAAATGAGAAGGTCGTACTATTGAACTGTAATCCATTCATTGATTTATGGTCCCAAGTTCCTCCAAGGATTTTCACAAATGCCTGTGACGATTCCTAGTGCTGGACTTTGCATTTGGATCTGTGATTTAGATGACAGATGTGTGAAATCATATGTAGCCAGACAAATCCCTGGTGATAACACATTTGAGGGGGCTCAAGCAGTGATGGATTAAGGCCCAATCAACCAGATCAGCTAATCCGAGCCCTCTTCAGTGACATTGGCCCTGATGGTTTAAAGGGGCATCCCAAACAAATTACTTTCCAGAAATAATACTTTCTGTTCTGCATCTCACCCTATGATAACTTCCTTTTCCACAATAAACCCAGATATCATTAAAGAAGCCCCGCCTAATTCTAGAGAATATATTGTTATATCTGGGGTTAATATTTGCCACAGCTGACTGGTTAACATTACTTTGAAAATCTCATACTCCAAGTAGTAATTGCATTATTAATACGGCCAATGTGACTGGTAGTAACCATTTGGAAAGTCTGACAATGTAGAAGTTACGAAGCCAAAGACTTGTTAACAGCTTCTTAGTTGCTAAAGAGTTCATTCCAAAGAAACTCAGCAGCTCACAGTCAGAATATACCCAAAATCGAGGCTTCTTCTAGGAAGAAAGTATAGTAATATAAGAACTAGACTCCAAAACTTTACCCTAGGATAAACCTTGTGATGCCATGCATAGCATTACTTTCAAAATAGATTATCTCACATATATTTTTATGGAAACAAAAAGAAAGCAAGAAAAATCATACTTTAGCATAGGTATAAAGAATATAACACAAGCCAGTCAGCTATAATAAAAGAAAAAGCAAAGGATGTTCTGAACTCCTCTACAAAGATCTCTCTAATGCTTTGCAACTCCTGCACCACCTCAGTGGTGCTCCCATATAATTTCGTCAAAGACAGGCTTGAATGCTTCACTATTCTGCCATTTCTCTGGGCTTCTATTTCATTTTATTTTACTTTCATACAATATTTTTAATAATTTTTGTTCTTTTTTATAGTTTCAACTTATATTTTATATTAGAGGGTACATGTGCATGTTTGTTACATGGGTATATTGCATGGCATTGAGGTTTGGGGTACAAATGATTCTATTGCCCAGATAGTGAGCATACTACTTCATAGGTAGTTTCAGCCTTTGTCCTCCTTCCTCTCTCCTCACTCTAGTAGTCCCCAGTATCTATTGATCCCATCTTTATGACCAAGTATACCCAATGCTTAGTTTCCACTTTTAAATGAGAACATGTGGTATTTGGTTT